CAAAAAAATACTACCCCTATCCCTACCCCACCCTCCCCCCTCTCTAGCATACAACTATCGGTTATGCTATCACTATCAACGTCAGTCACGAGCGCCACAGCTACCACCACTGTTGGTCAACAACAACCAACACTTACACCGCCACCGCTACTGCCGGTCACCACTAACACCATCTGCTGAATTCAAACATATTTTTTCTACCACTATCATATAATTCCATATTTACAATTTCAAATTGAAACTCAAGAACTACAACCACCGTCTGATGAATTCAAACATATATTTTTCAGATCTGAAAAATAAAACATTACATTTTTCTTGATCTGCAACTTCACAACCCAAGAAACCCTAGCAATGTCCTCTTGTTTCAGCGGAGGTGTACCTCCAAGAAACCCTTCTTGTTTTTGTTTCGGCTTCAACGTCGCTGGAGTCACCTGAAACGTCGTTGGAGCCAGAGTCGCCATGAACACGAAATCGTAGCGCCTGTATGGAGGTGGCAGTGGCAGTTACACCTTAGGCTTTGCAAGAACTTGGGTATTAGAACCCTAATACAACCACTACCCTAAAACCTAATCTAGCCGCTACTGTATCAGTCATAGGAAAAGACGTACGAACCAACGAAACCCTAATCTTACCGCCACGATGAGACATTGATGAAGCAGATCTGAAAACCCTTGCAACCATCGTCATTTGGGAGGGAGGATAGTAGCGATGACGACGTTCCGCCAAAAGCCTCAGCCGACGGAACCCTCTTCTCAGAACAAATGAGATGTGTTTTGTGTAGAGAGAGAGAGAGAGAGAGAGAGAGAGAGAGAGAGAGACGGAAAATGGGGAGGGTGGGTGGTTTTTTTTTTGTCTTTTTTTTATTTAGAAAAATAGCAAAGTAATTAAAAAAAAGGGGAAAAGGGAAAATACAATGGGCAAATCTGTCTTTATAAAAAGTTTTGAAAATTTTGGACCAAATTCGCAACAAAATGAAAAGTTTGGACCACTAGTGCAAGTCCAAACCTTTTTGGACCAAACTTGCGAGTTTTGACATAACATGGGGACCATTCTTGCAATTTTGTCTTAGAAATATTACAAATAGTTAATGACCTTGGACACTCTTTCCAACACTCTCTCCTTGGGAGCTAGGGTTTTATTTTGCTAAAATGAATGAGCAAGAAATTGTTAAGTATTATTGGACTGTGGTCTTAGGTGCAATTACAAAAGAGGATCTTTGGTTTACAATCTCTAATCATACAAGAAGAAAGGGAAAGAATTATACACAAGAAATGTATGCTTTTTCATCTTAACTTTCTGGTTCTTTTAGTTGCAAGAAATCATTGAATCTGTGATCCTGATAGATTTTGGTGCTAATTGCTTCCATTACATTTAAATGTCTTAAAAAATACACCATAATCCAACAAAACCTACATTTGCAATGCCTTCCAAGGTAACCTCATTATTGGTCGTCATGACGATCACATTCCCATTACAACCATCTCACTCAACAACCTAACACTGCAATTGTACTATATTTGTCTCTCGGTTGGTCTCTGTGTATATATATTTTTTTCTATTCCGATCTAATGGTTTAAGCCATCCTATTACAAAACTGCTCGATGACAAATACATATTTCCATAACAACCTTATCCCTAAAAGCCTATGATGTCTCTCTTTTTAATGAAAATCAAAGAATCATTGCTATATCTTTCTTGACTCCTCTTTAAGATATCATCCTTATGTGAACGTCTAAAAGCCAAAAATTGTGTTGGAAAACATAGTTCTCCCTTGGAAACACCATACAATCTCTACACACCTAAAGGTATATTTCACTAAATGAGGTAATCAATTCGACTCAAATGCCTCTGACTATGTAAAGTAATCAAATGTGAATCCCTTTTTTAAGAAATGCTCGGCAACACAAGACAAGGTTTTTACTCGTCATAGGACTTGGAGATATCATAGAAAAACTATCATCTCTATCTGGGTATGATCATAGCATAACTTCATTCATTCGTCGAAGGGTCCCTTAGAAAGAAAAAGGTAGAACCAAATAAATGACGAGCGTGTTTGAGACCACCAAAACGTATATAGAGGAAAACTCAATAAGCAAGCATGTTTCTTGGTTTTTAGTACCAAAAGCAACACCCATATAGTACCCCCTTAGACTCTCTTCCTATATACTCATTAAAGTCTTACCCAAGAGATATCATTGGTCCTCTTATTTTCTTCAAACCATATTATCCAACTGCTCCTTGAAACCTTTGTTTTCCACCGCTTCCAAACTAGCACACACACGTTCATCGCTACTTCCTCTATGACTACCTTGATCAAAATGAGCCTATCAAGAAATCTTCTAAATTGCTTTATGTTGTTTTGACATCTGGGGATAGCAAACCTCCACACCATTTATCCACTTCTATATGCTTGCACACCACAACTTAAACCGATTGCAATCTATAACCGACGTCCCTTTCCAATTTGTCTCGTGTAAACAAGCAATGTAACCTTTCCTTTTCCTTAAGACCTCCACTAGTTCTAAAAACTTTGCTTTCAAAGATCCTACATTAAGTGAACGTATTTACATTTTGTTATCTACAACACCACTCCTACCCCACCCCCTCCCCCTAAGAAAAAAACCCTACTAGGATTTGTGCCTCAATTTACCAAATTAGTTAAGAGATAAATGGATAAAAGTATATGGAAAGGGTGAGTAATTAGGTGGAGGTGGATTAGGATCCTAGTGAATAGTTTTACCGAGCACCGGGTTGCAGTATATCTGATCTACGTCCTATAGAATGCTTTTTGTTTTGGTAGTGTGATAAAATAACCTTTTTATTCATAAATTAATATATAAAAGGCTAATACGTGTTGTGTTCATGGTTGTAATTTTGGAAACAAATATTTTCAATTATTTATAGCAATTGTTTTTCAAGATCAAAACATATTACTGGCTAATCCTCTACAGAATTAAAATTTTGAGTAAATTACACGAATGGTCGCTATGGTTTGGGATAATTTGCGCGTTTGATCCCTAACTTATTTTTTTAACTCCGAAGGTCATTACTGTTTATTTTTGTTACGCGCTTGGTCCCTACTGTTTGTTTTTTGTTACACGTTTGGTCCCTGTTTTACCTAAAAAGATTATTATTTAAATAAGGAAAAATGATGAGGTAGGTAAGGTAAGGTGAATGAATGGGGTTGGAGGCGTGTTTATTTAAATAAGTTAAAAAATCAAAGACAAAATAGTCTTTTTAGGTAAGACAGGGATCAAACGCGTAACAAAAACAAACAGTAGGGATCTTTCAAGTTAAAAAAATAAGTTAGGGACCAAACATGAAAATTACCCTAAACCATAGGGACCATTCGTGTAATTTACTCTAAAATTTTATAATTTTTTTTTTGTCTTTTTCCCGCCACATTATTTCCTCATATTCCTCAGAGCTAAAGAGTAAAGGATTCCCGCATAGACTCTGCGGAAGTCGTGGTCATTTTCCGAAAACTTATAATTTTTGGTTATTTTTCTTCAAATAGCCCCTCTTTTTGTCATTTCACAAATTTTCACTTATTTAAAATATGCTGTTAGATTTCAATATTTTTGTTGTTACGAAATTTTAATATGATTCTTCCAAAATACAATAAATTAAATGTTTATTATCTGGATTAAATCTTGCTTTATTTATTTATTTATTTTTTTTTTGTGTGTGTGTGTGTTTTAAAACGTATGGTTTTGAGTTTTGACGAATGTTTTTGGTCAAAATTCAACTTTTGCAGTGAGCGATCGCCCAGTTCCTACCCTCGTTAGTCCTTCCCGCTTAGTGCTAAACCTCGCTCGATCCTTATTCCTCCGCCATTTGCCTATCCGGAAGCCTGGAATCGCCAATCAGGTCACCGCTGTCAGGTATGTTCTCAGAAATCAGAATCTCAGTTCTCCCTATTTCTCGCTTCTCTCATCTGTTCAGTGAATGTGAATCAGTGTTCTCAGTTCTGTTTTCTCATAAAATTGTTAGTTAATTGATTTCAGATTTCAGATTGTTAGGAGCATTGTTAGTTAATTGATTTCTCAGAAATAAGATTTGCAGAATTTAGGAGCATTGTTAGTTAATTGATTTCAGATTGTTAGATAAATTGTTGCAGAATTTTGCTCATGATAAATTAATATTGCAGAATTTTGGTTAGGAGCATTGTTATGTTAGATAAATTGTTGCAGAATTTGGCTTGTTGGTTCATGAGCTTATGTTTTGCTTTGTTGCATCAATTTTATTTCTTTTTATCAAACTCCAATCAATTTCAGTTCATTTGCATCAAATTGATTCATGTGAAAACTTTGTATTTTACATGCGTATCAACTGTTTGTTGATATGCCTGAATGAGATTTTCTTGTAAACAAGGAATTATTGATAGGATGTAGATAGAATATGACGTTACTTGGTCCAATTTGTAAACATTGAATTATTGTTAGTTGGTTCGATTTTGAAGTAGCTAGAATGATCAAAGCTCAACCTCACTAATTTTGGTTAATACTCTGTTAAGACTTGCATATCTGTGAATCAACTTGATCATGATAAACAATTCTTTTTTCTTTGTAGCTATGGAATCCAACCATGGAAAACACAGCATCTTAATGGTATCAGACTTTTTCTACCCAAATTTCGGTGGTGTAGAGAATCACATCTATCTCTTATCACAATGCCTTCTTAAACTTGGCCACAAGGTTTCAAATCTAATGAATTTATCACTTCTGTTTTAAAGCTCAAACCTTAAACCAATCACTTTAATTCTCAGGTTGTTGTCATGACTCATGCATATGCAAATCGTTCAGGGGTAAGATACATGACAAATGGATTAAAAGTCTATTATGTCCCTTGGAAACCATTTCTAATGCAAAACACATTACCAACTTTCTATGGAACACTCCCAATTGTGAGAACAATTATCATTCGTGAAAACATCTCATTAATCCATGGTCATCAAGCTTTTTCAACTCTTTGTCATGAAGCTTTAATGCATGCAAGAACAATGGGCTACAAAGTTTTATTCACTGATCACTCATTATATGGTTTTGCTGATATTGGAAGCATTCATATGAACAAAGTACTTCAATTTACTTTAGCAGATGTGAGTCAAGCCATTTGTGTCTCACATACAAGTAAAGAAAACACAGTTTTAAGATCAGGGCTTCCACCCGAAAAGGTTTTTGTTATCCCAAATGCTGTGGATACAACTATGTTCAAACCTGCTTTAGAAAGACTTGTTATGGATCCGATTGTTATTGTTGTCATTAGTAGATTGGTTTATAGAAAAGGTGCCGATTTATTGGTTGAAGTTATTCCTGAAATATGCCGTTTGTACCCCAATGTAAGTTTAAATGACCATTTTACCCTTGTGTTCCAGATTAAGTGTTGGTTTTGATGTAACAAAATATATGTTAAGGTGCGATTCATTATTGGAGGAGATGGACCCAAAAGGGTAAGATTGGAAGAAATGAGGGAAAAACATTCTCTTCAAGATAGAGTTGATATGTTAGGTGCTGTTCCACATGCTAAAGTGAGATCTGTTTTGAACTCTGGTCATATATTCTTGAACAGGTATGTATGTTTATAATTTTATACTTTGGAAAATCTTTCTATATTTAGAAAGAAGGATGCTATAACTATAGTAAACAAATGAATGAAAGTATGTTGCTATTTTTATTTGATAGTTCTCTTACAGAGGCATTCTGCATAGCAATACTAGAGGCTGCTAGTTGTGGATTATTAACAGTGAGTACATGTGTTGGGGGTGTACCTGAGGTGTGAATTCAAAAATATTTTTTATTTTTTTAATTGGGACGAAAAATGGACAATTAATAATTTAATATCATATTGATTTTTAGGTTCTACCAGATGATATGATAGTTCTTGCTAAGCCAGATCCTAGTGATATGGTTCATGCAATCAAAAAAGCAATCAAGATTCTTCCTCAAATTGATCCACAAGAAATGCATCTTCGTGTAAGTTTTTGCAAAATAAATTAAGTTTTATTGAAAAATATAATAATTTGAATTATATATTATTAGATCAAAGGAATGTATAGTTGGCAAGATGTTGCCAAAAGAACAGAGATTGTGTATGATCGTGCCTTAAAATGTCCGGATCAAACCCTCTTGGAAAGACTCTCTCGGTAAATTACATGTTTAATCCCTGAGTTTAGCTGATGTTTTCAATTTTTGCCACAAAGTTTTAATTTGCTCTTACATAAAGCGTAACTTAGTTTCACTATTTTATTGTGAATTTGTTGTAGGTATCTTACATGTGGTGCTTGGGCAGGGAAGCTTTTTTCTTTAGTTATGATTGTTGATTATATCTTATGGCGATTATTACAAGTGTGGCAGGTATGTTTTCATGTCAATTTACGAAACTACCCCTGGGTTATTTTTTGCTTGTGGTAATGAATGGCATTTGTGTAAATTTTTGTAGCCGGATACGGAAGTTGAGGTGGTTCCTGATTTAAACCTAAGCAGATCCAATCGTGTTACACAAGTTCACCCCTCTAATGTATCTAGTTAAATTCACAAATATATAATCTGTAAAAGAAAAGGTGAAGATTTCAAAAACTTGACAAAACTTGCAATTTCGTGTAAACCATGGGGACCATTTATGTAAAAGTTAAACAATCATCTCCACCAACCGAATAATTCTTTACGTTTTTTATAAATATGTATATAACTTGTACCAATATACAATTTTAAAACTTAATTACAACATAACCAAACAAGGTAAATAACACTTGTTATTGGATTTGAGCAGCTTTAAACAATTCTTTCCATTTTTCTGTGTTGCTTCCTGGTCCATCACCCTGTAAACCATAAGAACACTTCAACCACAATTCATTCCTTTTGACTTGATGCAAAAAGAACGACTTAACACAGAAAGCCACAAAAATGTCAAATACAACTTAATGGAATTTTAGATTTTACTCACTGGGACTGAATTGATTTCGTATATTTGACCTTCAGTAAAATCTATATCCAATGCTTGTATGCAAGCTTCAGCAACTACCAGCCTGCTAACCTCTCCTACCAGTTTATCTCCTGGGAAACAACAACCAAATAAATCTACTTTCAAACAAATAATTTTGACTAAATTTGACTTTTTAAGGTTGTGAGTCAAGTCAACCTTGACCAATAAGGACAGCTCGTCTTTCTCCAGCTGTAGCTTTGAGCAAAGTATTTAGATCATATGATGTGTAAGGTCCATCTGTCAACCTACCAGGTCTAGTTTCAACAAAATATAATATTACATTATCAGTATATTCTATAAAGATTCCTCAAATTTAAAACAATAAATAAAACCCATTAGCCAGAAATAAACCTTATTATTGTGTAAGGAATGCCAGAGTTACGAACAAAATCCTCCCCCATCTTCTTATATTTCAGAACACCAAAAAGATTCATGATGCTGAGTCATATCAATCCAGGGTCGAGTCAAACTCAAAGTCAAAGTCAAACTTACAATTAAGGGCATCCAGTCTAATGTATGTCAAACACAGTTAAACCTGTTAGTGTTATGTCATACCTCCATGGTAATTCATTAGACTTGGTTACTCCTACCGATGAAACGAGGATGATTCTTGATAATGATCGAGGCAGTGTTGACACAAGGTTTCTCACGCCTTCCCAATCTTTAAACACAAATGGGATTGAATCAAGGGGTATTTCAGGCATTTAATCATTAGTCAAAGGATATATTATGAAACTTTATATAAAGTCAAACATATATCAGACCTACTCTTTCGGGTGTGTTATCTCCATCCCATCGCCTTGATGGAAAGGCAGTAGTGCCTGTGCAGCAAATAACATGAGTCACTCCCTATGAATCAAAACATATAATCAAGCCAAGGTTATAAAAATTAATGATTACCTAAAAATAACATATTCGTAAAAAAAAAATAAAAAAAAAATGAGAGTATAAAAGTATAAACCTCAAACATTGATGGATCAAGATCCCCTGCATTTCGAGTGTCACATTTCATCACCTACCAAAATCCCTTTTTTTAAATAAAAAAATTTCATATCCTGAATTGGATTCACTAATGAGAAAGGAAGAAAGTCAAAATAAATACTAGTATCCCATTTCATTTATTAAAAAACGAAAAACAAAATATACCTGCAATTTCTCCTCTTCATGTTCTCCAAATAGAGTTTTTGCTTTCTCTGGATCTCGGAGTAACAGGCGCAATCTAACATTCCGATTTAGCAATGACGCTACCACTAATTGTCCTGTGGAGAACACCACCAACAGATTAGGGGACTAATTGTAAGATTTAAAACGATCAATCAGAGATCAGACTAGAAAACTCCAAATTCAACCCCAAGTTCGAATCGAGGCAACCAAACATGTGCAAATTGCGCAATATTAATATCATCATCACATTAAACAACCACCGATGCTAAAGAACACTAGGTTAAAGGAATTAATCGTACCAACTCCTCCAGTGCCTCCGGTGACAAGAACAAGCTTATTAGACGAAGTAAGAGGTGAAGGAGATTCGGTCGGATTCTGAACTGTTTCCTGTTTCAGTGAACTGCTACAAACAAATGAATTCCGCCTTGAATTGAGCTCGGAACTAAGAAGTTTTGTATGAAGCGATGATGATGATGATGAAAAGGAACGGAAAACAACGCTGGTTTGAAGAAATTGTGTGTGGAATTTCGGGCTTCTGTGGATTGTAAGGTCTGTAATGGGAGTGAGTGATGATAGCTTGGAAGCCATGGAAGAGTGAGATAGATGGGAGCTCTTTTTTGGGTGGGCGTTATGGTTTGGTTTTTAACTAAAGAGTAAGTTACAGAAGCGGTACCTGTTTTTTAATTAAATTTTCAGTTTTAGTCCAATTTTAAAAACATGACACAGACAGTCTTTGTGGCTTTATTTTTTTGCACGGTTAGCCATCAACCTTTAAATCTAACTATTCAGCTATTCAAATGATGTATTCATTCATTCGAAAAAAAAAACAATAATATGTTAGTAACATTTTACTCACACATATATTATTATCCAGTTAACACACTATCAATTCATAAATTGAAAAAGAAATGCGGAATCACTTTAGATTATGTGAGGTTTCAATTTCTTTGACTTACATTTGAAACCGGATGTTTATTTTGAAATTTTTTTTACTTACTTATAATTTAACTTAGGGGGTGTTTGGGAAAACTTTTTAAGATTAAAAGTGCTTTTTGTAAAAGGACTTTTTGGCTAGTGACTTTTTCCAAAAGAAAATCTTTAAAAAGTGTTTGTATTTGTTTTTAGGGTAAAAGTTAACTTTTCAAGTTAAAAAGTCCCAAAAATCACAAAAAGATAAGATTTTGTGACTTTTGAAACACTCTATTTTCCTTCTATACAAAAAGTCATTTTAAAAGATCTTTTTCAATAAACATCTTTTGTATCTTTTTTTACTTTTTGGAAAAGTTAAAAGTCAAAAGTTGTTTTAAAAGCAATCCCAAACACCTTCTTAATAGGGTTAAACTTTCGGCTTTTCTGTTTGGCCAAGCCTCATGGTTTTTTTTTTTTTTTTTTTCATAGGCAATTAACCGAAAGTTTTTACTTCATGTTTACAGTTTATATTTTAAAAAAGAAAAGGAAATTAATTGTGTTTATGTGTTTGTTTTGCAAGGATCAGTTAAAGAATAATCATGCACTAAAACATATGCAAGAAAAGATGACACTTGCAGCTGATACAAACACGCATCAAAGGAGCCAACTCGTGTTTGATTTTTCTAAGTTCTAATTATTTGTATAAGTTTATCATGTGTGATATTTTTTGTTATATGCATCACATTAATTACTAAAAATGTCTTAATCTCACCTTACCCAATGCATTACGTTGTCGAATTATAAGCTTGAACAATCTAGTATTAGAGCAACCAACTATCTAAATTGATGTCTTTCACGATTTAGAAAGATTATTAAAGTATAAAGACTACAAAATGACAACATTGTCTACTTTTGCTAGTTCGATTTAATGATGTTATTTTATACTTTTAAATTAAATTCCTCCTATACTCTAGTGGAACAATTATGTATCCCTAGAAAATTGATTATGTAGTTCATTAATATTCAAATACATTTATTAATTAATAAACGGTTAATTGGTTAAGCGAATAATTAAACCAAATTAGCAAACCAATAGTTTCGAATAACCTTTTGAATTAGATTTGGTTCACTTAACCATCAATGGACACCATCTAAAATAACATCATTTTGATTATGCTAAGCTTTTAAAACTATAACAACATATATCCAATGATCCAAATAACATCATCATCACCAAAATTCAACAGAAAAAAAAGGGTTTTGTTCCACTCCTTTTTATGCATCTTATAAATGTTACAAACTCTGTATCCAAGGCACAAAATTACACGAAAAGGCTCAAAGATATGTGGCTTATTTAGGGAAAAGTGAAAAAGAACTAGACTTCATTCCTTCAAGCTCATGTACCTTCATTTGGCTTAGGAATTTTCTTATATTCATAGTTGTTTATGTCAACACTCTGCTGTAAAGCCTGCAACCAAAATAACTAACCCCATTGATAAGCTTCAATAAAATTATATTTATATTTATATGTTATACCAATGGATTAGTTTATTGGATATGTTAATATCACCTTTAGCTCTTCCTCTATTGACAAGTTTTTAGGCTTGTAAGCTTCAATGGGCCCTGTTCTTGAAAGGGCTTTTTTAGTTTCAAGAATCTCCCACTCTTGATCATCTTTCACCTTAGCTATATCCTTGCTAAAGTACAAAAGTTGACATCAATATGATGGAAAAAGGTAATGTCTTTATTTGATTTAGTAACTGAGTTAACTCACCTTCCCTGTAAAAGATGACCTAACCCAAGTGCTCCAAACACAGTGAGTGAAATCATAGGAAGCCCATATCTGATAAATGGACCTTTTCTTCCCCATCTTTTGAACCCTGAAGCTGAATTCTGAATTTTAGTAGAATTTTTAGATTCAGGTCTGTTAGTAGTATTAGGTTGTTGATCCATTGTTGTTCCGATTGTTGTCATCCTTGAACACCACAAAATGACATGTACTGTAGTGGCAAAATGTAAAATTGATGCAGAATTTCAGATCAGTTAAACACTTAAATTTGTATTGATAACAGCCAAATGTCATCATTTCTTATAACAAGCTTATGCATCATGATTTGGTGAAAATCAAACCAACTTAGGTTTAGTTTACTGATGTTGTTTATGTTTGTAATGTTGATCGTGTATGTGCATGCCATATGATAGTGAAGAAACAACACCCCTACAACAATCAAATCCATCGACTAGAAGCAGAATCCACTTAATTTGAGAATTCAATAAAAGTCAAAATTTGACTTTTATCATGAGCACAAAATTAGAGTCAGATGTGTACCAGGATTTGATTGTTGACGCCCAAAATATTTTGTTGTAATCCAAGATGGAGCTCCTTTGAGTCTTAAAACCTGCAAAAATTGAGAAAAACGTGATGTTAGAAGTTTTATCTAACAAGGAATTAGGAAGAACAGGGGGGATATTGGAAAAGGAATTTTAGGATTTGTTTTTCAGGACTTATTTAGTAGAGAAGCAAACACGGAGAGAGGTTTCAGGTAGTGGTGGTGGTAATTATAGAGTGAGAGAGAGCCGCTGGTGTTCTCCGGCGAGAAGGGGGTCGACACTCGCACAGATGACGTGGTTTTACCGGACGGAGAGGGATCAGAGCGGTATCAGTGGAGAGGAAAGTTGGTTAGTCGGTGGCGTTGTTTGACACTTACCGGTCAGAGAGGGCGGTTGTATGAGCGGCGGCTCGGTGCGTTTCTCGCTGCACAGTCGAGAATGGGGAGAGCGATCAAAGAAGAGAGAAGATATATGAGACGAAAGAGAAGAGCCGAAAGAGAAGGAAACTTACATAGTCGCCGGCGGTATAGGGCGATGAGCGACAGTGTGTGGTGCAGTGGTGGCGATGAGAGAAAACACCAGATTGGTTTTGTGTGGGCCTTTTTAGGCAAAATGTGTTTCAAAATTTCGTTGCTTTTAAGCAATATACGTTCTTTTGTGGGATGTAATTGGGAACTAGGGCTTGTATATATACGTGCAATAAATTGGAAACATTGTAAATATATGTGCAATACATTAGAAACGTCAATGATTATGTAATTAGTTTCTAAATAAAAAAAATAGTGAATGGCACCACATGCCACTTGGATTTCTTCTTCGATTATTAATTCTTTGCCTGTGAAATTTATGTATCAAAGGACAAGGAGCAGAGAAAATAGAGGGTAAAAGAAAAAAAAATAGAATAAAGAGATTGTGCCGTCAGTGAATACCGCCGGTGAAAATATTGGATAAGGGGTGGTGCTTACCGACGGTAATAGGTGCCACATAGAGTCGGTAGTGAAAATAGAAAAGGTAGTTGTTAGTTAGGGGTGTTTGGGGTTACTTTTAGAATGACTTTTAACTTCTAATTTTTCTTAAAAATTAAAAAAATAAACCAAAGGTTTTTGGGTAATAGAAAAGTCATTTTGAAAATGACTTTTACATAGAGGAAAATAACAAAAACATGACTTTTTGTTATTTTTTATGACTTTACATGTAAAAGTTAACACAAACACCCCCTTAGAAGCTGTATGTTTCATTTGTTATATGAGTGTTTGGAAAAAATAGTTGAAAACTTTTAAAATATGTAAAATTACATAAAAAGACAATTGTTTTCAAAAAAATATATCTATAAATATATTTTTAAGGACAATTTTGGAAATTGATTTAAAAAACATTTTGTTAAAGGTTACATGAAGAAACTTTTAGATTTGCAGCGTTTTGTTTAAACTAAAAGTTAAGCTTTTAGGATAAATCATTCAAAAATTTATAAAATGAGGGGTTTTTATGTCATTTGCCTTATTTACATTGATTTTTTCATTTAAACCTGTTATGTTTTAACCGTTTTTGCTCTCAATAGGCGGTTACCATGAACATGTTGGATGTCAGTAACCCCCCCCCCCCCCCCCCCCCAAATATCTCCTTTTTAAGCCTTCGTTCCACAAACAAAAGCTCTAAAATCAAAACACCTAAAACCAAATGCATCCATTTTAGGAGCAATCAAAACGTTTTCAATGTATTCTAGAGGCATGTAACCATATGTCTTGCCAGTTGAATTTCTCCATCTTGATTGTCATATACACTTCTTGCAAGGCCAAAATTTGTAATCTTTGCTCTCACGTTATTGTCTAGTAATACGTTGTTGCATTTAAAGTTCTTGTGAATATATGGTGAAGTGATGAAATTGTGAAGATAATACAATGCATCTGCTTAAAAGACATGTATATGTGATATTAGATATTGACTAGTTATATATGAACTAAAGATATATCTAATTTGCCCTACTAATCGAATGTGAATGTAGATGGTGATTCTATACAAGTCATCTATCTCATCTGTGACTGTGAGTCAATGAATAAACAGATGAAGTCAATACAAAATTCGAAACTCCATCCCAAAACTGAAACATTGATGTTATTCATGTTCTTCGTGGAGTGAAGCCAATCACTGAGTGGTTCATTTTCAACCAATTAATAAATGAGATATGAGCAGAAGCTATAAAGTTGGGTTATGTTTGAATGATTGATTTGTTTGAGTGTATTAATCTCACCGGAGACATCACCTTTCATGATCTTCACTGCTGCGAAATCTCCATTGAAGACCCCTATGTAAACAGATTCTTTCACTATATTTTCTTCCTTGAAATCTTCGATAACATTTTGTAGTTCCTCATATGTGTAAACAGTTACTGATTCAATCGCAAATCGAATTGCTTATGATGAAACATACCATGATTTGCTCTAGGATCATCACTTTAGGAGGAAAGTGTTTAGGTGGAGGGAGATTATGTTGTTTTGAATCTTCCTCCTCCTAAAGAACCAAACGAAAAATTCAAAAAGGGAAACTATCATAAGTAAACCCACACCGACACCGTGTAACATCCCAAAAATCAATGGTAAAATTTTTATTTTTATTATATTCGAAACACTAGAGTAATCGCTTCCAAACATTTCAATACAAAACATTTATCAGAGTTCATTCCCAAAATCACATATTATGGAAAACACGGGTGGATGCGCTGCGATTAAGCCAGACCCTTCCTTTTCGAATCGGAAATACTTGAAACCATGAACAAAACTGTAAGCACGAAGCTTAATGAGTTCCCCAAATACCACATACCAGACATATCAAACGAGCCTTACATAACATACATAATTATGAGCCATACATATCACACATAAACATAATCAATAGGAGTGCTATGTGCCAATCATACTGTGACATCCCCAAATTTCTCGGCCAGAAAAGACCGATTTAGTTTATGCTTTTAAAATAAAATCAGAGTAATCTTTTAAAAGATGTTGCGAAATTTGTCCCCAAAACAAAATATGATAAAATTCATCAAATCATTTCTTAAAGAAATATATTTTCCATTTCATAACAAAACCTCGGGATGTCATGTTCCGATACAGACCAAAAGCATAAACAGTATATTATAAGCCTTACAATAGTTATTTACAACTACTGGCCTATAATCCAAAATCCATCGTCATCGTCCAACTATGCTCTTGTTCCACTACATGTAATAATATAGAAAGCTGAGTGGGTCAGGCTTGGGAGCCTGGTAAGCATATAGGGTTTTCAACCCACAAATAATAAATTTATTAATTTCATCAACCAACAATAAATTTATTTATTATGTTTAAACATCAAACAATCAACCCAATTTCCCATCCCCATTATCTTCTTTATTCTTAAAGATCTTAAGAATCATCTGTCCTCCATTCATTCATTCCTAAGGATTATCCTAAGGAATAGACACAAAGTCCATCGCTGCCCGAGATTCATACAACAGGCACTAAGTCCATAGCTACCAAGGTAACCAAAGGAATAGGCGCGAAGTCCATCGCTGCCCGAGATTTATACAACAAACACTAAATCCATAACTGCCAAGGTTCATCTATACGGTACTAAATCCATAGCTACCAACGTACATCTATACTGTACTAAATCCATAGCTACCGACGTACATCTATACCGTCTTTCATCCCTCATTCTTTATCTACCATGTTTTACCGAACATATTTGTAGATATAAAATATATATGTAGTTTAAAATCTGTATAAAACATTCTTTCTTCTACCTATGTTTTACCCAAAATTTTTGTAGATATAATATATATACATTTTAAATCATTTTAAACATGTATAAAACATTCATTCAACATCCATCTCAAATAAACAAACAACATATATACACATAGCACGTATTTTATATAAAATATTTCATATCTATGTGTAAGATGAAAGTGACTATACACTCATTTGATTTAACGATAATCGGGCAACACTTCGTTTCTTAAAACGATCATTTCCGATAAAATCGGGATGTTTTCTCAAAAATCGGGCCTTGCGAGGGTTGAGCTTCAAACCAAAAAGATAAATTTCTCGGGCTCTTCGGGCACTTCGAGACGTGTTTTGGGTGTTGAGAATGATCCCGGGGCTTCGGGGGAAGTTGAAATAGCTAAAAATTGGATTTAGGGGTAAAAAGTGTGAAATTTACAAAATTACCCGGGAGGTATCACACCCTTTATATAGGTGCGAGCCTCGGATCCGAAGCAAGGAGAAGCGAGCACGTGGCTCGCATGCGAGGGGGGACAAATGGCGAAGCTCGGAAGGCGCCAACGCTTAGCCACGCGTCAGATCAGGAGAGGACTGCGCCTTCGGTGCGAGGTGGCTGCGACACGCGTAGGACACGGGGCATCTCGCATGCGAGGTGACGTGGCCGAACCCCAGCCATGCGAATTTTCTTGGATTTCAGGATTTTCTTGATTTTTGTGTCCCAAACTTCTAAAAACCATAACTTTCGCATACGGGCTCCGTTTTTGATGTTCTTTATATGCACACGTAGGTGAAATTATGCTCTACAACTTTAGTTTAGACTCCGTTGGCTAATTTTGAATTTATTTTTAATATTATTATTTTTAACAGACCGGGACAAGAAAAACCGTTAAAAATTCAAAACTTCTTCATCCGATGTCCGTTTTCGTCTGTCTTTTTACCGTTGTACTACTATTGACGAGACCTTCGATTCTTGTTTAGGTTGTGTCGGCTAAAAATCACTCGATCTAAAATTCGAGTTTTTAGTTGTCTACTGTTAAGCTGAAACTTAGAAAAATCATAACTTCCTCATACAAAGTCAGATTTGGGTGTTCTTTTTATGCACGCTCTCGGTTTAACGAACACCACGAATTTCATTTAGATTGCTAAGGCTAAAAAGCACTTTATCATAAATTCAGTTTTTACGTCATACAGCATTGTGCCGGTTCTGTCGCGAAACTTCGACAGGTCATAACTTCTTCGTTATAACTCGGATTCCAAAGTTCTTTATATATCCGGAATCCTTGTCACGACCACTACAACTTGGTTAAGATTATTTATTCTAAATAATCTTCTATCAAAAATTCATTTTCGATGCTTATCGTCTCTAAATTGACTAGCCCGAATCTGCGGGCGTTACAATTATCTCCCCCTTAGGATGATTACGTCCCGGAATCATCAACAAAATAGGGCTTGGATAATGATTCCATACATTTTCTCTTCATCCTAGGTAATAACCGTGACTTCTTTGTTCCTTCAAACGAGTATCTAACTTTTGGACTTCTCGACCGCAGACAGTGCTCAATCCTGCACATGCTCCGTGTATTATGTCGAACAAGATTTGATATGACCACTAGGTTCAGATTAACAATCATCTCCTTAGTCATTACTGAAACGATGGTAACGCCATACTTGAATAAAACATAATCAATTACTAGTTTCTTGGTAACCTTGTGACTTTCCCTGATCCAAGTGTGAGTCATGTGCTTCCAGTAGTATAGATCTCTACTACTATTCACACCTACTCATACTCGTCCCAAGTATTGTCTCGTAGTTTTTCCAAGTCACGATACAAGACAATCAAATAACCATTTAACATATCAGATAACAAAACCAAGTTTTATATTACTTCTTGATATGTTCATGTTTAATCTATACTATGCCTTTAATAGGCTATGTTGCGACATCGACCTCCGACGATTCTTCTGGTCTTCTGCTGCGGCGGAGATCTGGACATCATAGTGCAAAATCGTTAGAGCCGCCCCAGGGACTGTGCGCCGGGAGCGGGCTCTGACGGTCAAGTTAGATCAGCTAGAAGATCTGAGATGGTCCTCCATAGCTGGAGAGAACCATCTTGGTGCTAGTGGTGGTGTATGGTGGTTGACGGCGGCGGGTGGCGGCTGAGCCACCCGGCCGGAGTATAGTGTGGCGGCTGAGCCATGGGGGAAGAGTCCAAGGGGAAAGGTCTTAGCGGTGGGTGAACCACTTGGGAGAGAGTCCTCCTTCAAGGAGGAGGCACTATTCTATTTATAGTGGACAATTAGGTCAAGGGGAATTAGGGCAGGCCTTGGGCCAGCCCATTTCAGGCCCAACTAGCAAGGAGTTGGGCAAGGCCGCCCGGAGGCGCCGGGCGGGGCTGGCAGGCGCGCCCCAGGCAGGGCTGGCGGGCGCGCACCAGGAAGGGATGACAAGGAGGGCGCCATGCATGGGAGCGCCAGGCCGAGCCGGCAGGAGAGTCCCCAGCAAGGCTGGCAAGGGAGTCCCCAGCAAGGCTGGCAAGCGAACACCAGGCAGGGCTGGCAGGAGCGCGCCAGGCCAGGCTGGCGCGCTAGAGCATTCTGGGCCATGCTAATGGACCATATATCATCAAGTCCCCCAGTATGGTGTTATTGGTACGCGGCCAATGACATCGGACTGGAACTAGTCATATAAACTGTGCGTCGTCAAGTCCCCCTAGTCTGATGCGATTGGGTTGCTGACAATCGGATCGGACTAGATAAAGCACCAAAGCATTTAAATAATAGAGAGAACGACCGAACCGCGCCCACGAGGGTCGTGGGGTTGTGCGAAGAGCCAAGCATTGCTTATGTAGCTTGAGATGACTTGATACTCCTTCATTGAGAGGAGTGCGAGCCGATCGGTGCGATGCAACGTAACTATTGTTGCGATCATGCGGACCGAGGCTGCTAGAGAATGTTACGCGACACTGATG